GAGCGAGATGGTTTCAGGTCCTGATGGGACAACACTTTTTCATTGGAAGTTATATCTTTTATGGTCATGCCAGATTTGCATCAAATGTCATATTGTCACGACTTATGTCTTCTAAAAAGTTATGAGAAAATTATTGAGTCAGAATCACTTCAATATTTGCTGTTACAATTTTGATAGTAAGATTTAATCGTTTTTTTTTCGAACACATAAACGTGCAGAATAGACGAGATGTTATTGAACTAAAATAAGTGATGAATATTCAAACAGGAAGACATTAGAGGTCACGCAAGATGGTTCGAGATGATTGACTGTAATAGAATATGATATGGCATTTTTAGCTATAACATGTATTGCTAAGTGTGAAGTCAGAATCAAAATTTGTTTCTGATCGGAACTGGCACCAAAAACTATTGATCTCGCTCATCACTAGCAGATCCTCACGAGACTAATAGAACTCTATAGGACTTCGTTCCTATACACTATCCTTGTCAAGTTATTATATTTTTCTGAAATTTTGTCCATAGAATATACTTGGTTGGTTTTAGAATGCTCTGAAAATTTCAGCTGAAAAGCATGTGTTGCTTTTGAGATATCGAGAATACTCACATTTCTTATCTTTCCTTGTGATATATGATTATTTTTGCATACTCAATATTTCAAGAAGAACATCCTTTTGAACCTGTAATTTTCAGAGTATTCTAAAGTTCACGAGATCTACCTATGGGTAAAATTTCGGTAAAATTGTGATAACTTGAGAAAGATACCACATGAAGACAAATCCATATAAATTTCTGTTAGTGTGTCTCGTCAAGATCTACTTATCAGCAAAATATCTGTTTAATTGGTGAGTCACACTTAGGAATATTCCTTCGTTAGTTAAGAACATATTACAATCAAAAATCACATTTTAAACAAAATCTTTTTATTAAATATTTATATAGTGTCATAGAAAAATTTTTTTTTATGTGCTTATGTTTATAATAAAATTAAAAATCAAAGTAAAAAATTTTTTTTTGGTTTTTATTTAATAATGCCATGGATGAATTGGCATTCTTTTATAATCATGACGATAAATAAATTCACTTGGTACACGTTCAATATCTCGTCCAAAATCATCATAACAACTTGTCATCCAATGATCACTTGATTTTTTAGAATTTTTTGTTACATTTAACGATGATGATTGAGGATTTTCAAGAGGAGGTAAACCACGATAATCATGTTGTGTTAAACCTCGATCAGGATGATTAGGACGTGGTTCATTTAAAAAAATCCAATCATGATTATATGCTGGTGTTTGTGATACTAAACGTTTACCAAAACCCTGAATAAAAAAAAATACCCAACTAAGATATATACGTGAATATTTTGTTTTTTCTATTTATTTACTCGACCGAAATATTCACCATAGTTTTGTATTAAATTTCGATTATCATGTTCAGATATACGATTAGAAATATCCTTAACAAAAGAGAAAAAAAAAGTATAGATTACGAGATTGTCTTTTATTTTATTTTATTTTTAATTACTGGATGCCGTCGATTAATAACAGGTGATGTTGTAGATGATAAACTATTTGATAAAGTAACAGATTCTTGTTTTAAATCAGTAGTTTGATTCAACATTTCGCCAGTTGTTGTTGCTAATCGACGATCAAATGATGAATCTGTATAACCACGTTGTTTGAACTACATAAGACAAATTTATTTCAATCATATTTTGAGCAAATAATTTGACAAGAACTAAAAGCATATGTTTTGCACATAGAAACAAGAAGCAAGCTGAATGGCAAATTTTAAGAATTTCATTACTCATGTCACAAAAGAAAGATATGTTAGTGTTATTAATATTATCTTATTTGAAAGAAATTAATAATTGTTTTTATTGAGAGATTATTCAAACTTTCCATGAGTATACTTTATATACCGATGAATTGAAATTCTTTCTATGCTAACCTTAGCTTTATATAATAGATTATTGAGTGTTATTAATAAAACATTTAAGTAGATAGATTCGCAGAAAAATACAAGAGGTTTCGTTAAAATAAAAACAACTTCAATCTATGATTGTTGCTTTCACGATATTGTTCTTAGAGTTCGTAACAATTAAAAACATACTGAAATTAGATAGAAAAATTGTTTGAACTGTCATCATCATAATTTCCCTCAGTTTCACGAGAACAAATGTTATGAAAGCATTCATTCGTATTACTGAAAAAACTTGTTGTAGCTATCAAAAAAACAAGGCCATTGCTCTAAATTAATATCTATATTAGAAATGAATCTTGCAGATGTCGAGTTAGTTGATTAACTAACTATTAATATCGATAGGCATATTGTTCTTTTCATTTAACTACTTAATAAATGAATTGAGTTAATGGAATGAAGAAAATTTTAATATTAAAAAAATAACTATGTATGAAATCTATGTTCCTAGTTTTGTTAGAGAAAAACTAAGTCTAGGCTTTCAAAATCAAAAATATTTCTGTCTCATAGTCGGCGAAGGTATGTGACTTAAATGGGCTCAAACGTTCGTATCTAATTTCGTTAGATTGATAGATTTATGCAGTGCATCGAGGTTCTTGTCATAAGGAAATGCTGGGTTTTAGATTGCCAATGATATGAAATAGTATTTCTCTTTTATAAGTAAAGGAAAACTGTACAGAAAATTCAAGTTCGACAAACTAAAGGCTACCGAAAATCTTCAGTGGCCAATGAGGAAATCTATCCAGATGTCAAATTGCATTTTCGACCAAGGCATTGTTCAATTGATGAATAATAGAAAAGTCTAGAACAGGTTTGGTTTTTCGGATCTTCGCTCTTGAAATTTTATTGGGTTTTTGCAGCATCAAAAATTGTGATCAGATGAAAAATCGATTTTTGACTTCAAACTTTGCACGAACAAAAGTTCTTAATGAGACTAGTTGATCGTGCAGCTAATACTTTCTTTCTGAAGATCTCACAAAACATGAACATTGTTTCAATTGAAAAGCAATTTGATAATTGAATTGATTAAAGACAAATGTTAGCGTGCGTTTTCAAGTGCACACTTTTTGATACATGTGAATTTTTTTCTGAACCATACCAACTTTATACGGGGCAAAATGTGAGTTGAAAAAAAGAAGCACTAACTGTGTTTCATACAAATTCTTAATTTTTCTGTAGACAGCTTATAAAGATTGTTGCGCATACTTTAGATTCAAAACGTTCTGCTGCTAAGATAAACTCTATGCTTTTACTTTCTTGAGCATCTGAAAAATGTCCTATTAATTACAGTAGATTAGTGTATTTCATTTCGTAAAACATTACTATTAATTCAACTAAACGAAGTGTAATTTAATTACAATAGATCTCAAAAACTTTTGAAAATTCTAAGAAATGATTTGTTAATTAAATAGCAACTTTAATTATGGAATAGATATGTTACGTTGATTGTTTGGAATTTAACTAGAATACAATCACATTTCTTTATTAAGCAATCCCAAGAAGTAGCTTTGTAACGTTTAATTTAATATAGATTACTTAGAGAACATCAGTACAACAAAAGCTTTTCAACAATACATAAAATGAAATTTATCATTTGGATTTATCCTATAAAAAGGAAATCTAATTTGTTTTTTTATTTTTGATTAAATACAAACACATAACATTAATTTACTCACCCAATAACCAGCTGGTTTAAAATTCATTCAAAAAATGTACGCCTCTTTTTTATTCAATCAAACAAAAACTAATGAATAGAAATTTCTGTTCTTTGTGAACAAACATATTTCACCTTTTGCCACTAATGGTTGTACGTGACGTCGACTTGTATCTTTATTACCATGCACCATTCTTTCTTCTACTTCTTTCCTTTATATTAATCTAAACATTTTATTTTATTTTCTGTCTTTAATCATCTTTTACTAGAGTTAAATATATATTTATTTATTAATGCATAAACAAAAGAATTTTTCTAAAAACTATATCATGAGCATTTTTCTGCTTGTGCATGGAGTCTGAAAAATGAGACGAAAACCTATTATATGGTTACATAACCATAACTATTTAGTAATTATACATGAAGATAATTACAAATGAATTTTTATGGTTAAAAATAAAATAACATTCATCTATTTTGACTTTTCATTTGCATATTATTACTTATTCAAACTAGGCATATGTTGAACCTAAGCTCTGATTCTGTCTTCGAAACTATTTCCGAGTAAATAGGATTTATGATTCAAGTGCTTCTTGAGATATATAAATGATCATGTCTTCTAATTGTTGAATAGTGCTTTCAATTGTCTGTAAAAATTGAAATGCTTTCCTGTACTCTCTGTTAATAATTAACTAAACTCGCAATCGAATACAAACGTTCAGGTTCCGTATATGCCTAATTCAAATATTCATTTAACAAAATCACTTATTATTGCTGATAATATTAAATAACCAAATCCAACAAATAATTGTATTGGATCATGAACGATCTGTATTTAATTAATGTTTCATATTCTACCTGTGAATGAAAATAAGCACTTTTGTTTTCAAATACAATAACTATCTACCTTAATCGTAACATGTTCCGCGCAACGGTCTATTGTTCCATATTACATTAAATATGATTTTGTTCTACAAAAACTAACATAGAATATTTTTCAATATTTGAAACAAACATTTTGTAGATATGTTATTTTTTGTTTTCATGTATAAGTGTTTGTGAACACATGCTTTATTTGTGTGTATAAGAAAAGAAAAGAAACTATTGATTCAAGTCAACGAGAACAAATTACTTTATAAGCCGAAACAGATAAGTATTTAAAGAAACATATGACAAATATATATATATATCCCACACAAAACATATATATAGATAGGATTCGTGTGAAATGAAAAGAAGAAAAAAAACACGAAAACTACAGACGCACATACATAAGCAAACTACAATGATAGAAATGTACAACAAATGAGAAGGAAGCAAAAAAAGAGAAAAAAAAAAGAAATAATAATTTTCAATATATGTTAATCTCCACTAGCTGAATCTCCTCCATTATTATTTCCATGTGAAACAGCAGCAGCTTTAACTGCTGATTGTAGAGCTGATTCTCCGATATTAACTGGTACAACTACAGATGAATTATTACCAGCTGATGAAAGTAATGATGGTGTACTGCTATTTGATGTTCCAGTTAGAGATTGTTGAATAGATGCATCGCCTAATAGTTGACTAGCTGCTGTTTGAGAAAGAAATGGAGCACCTAATGGAAATAATGATGAAAATGGTGATACTCCATTAAGAACACCATCATATGCTGATCCTAAAAAAAACAATTTCACAATATAAAAATTCAAAACAACACTATAAAGTTTTGACTACAGAATTTGATATGTAGATATAGACTCCCTCTATATAATGGCGTATGTGTTGTGTTATGTCAATCGATGACGCCACTATTGAGATGACAACACAGTACTTAGTAAGATCTGATAATACATACACTATTGGATACAGGAAGTCTATCTTGATACATTCAGTTCTATAGTTAAGATCGTATAGTCGTGTTTGAATTACTTACGTGACACATTAAGATAATCTCTATTAACACAATATCGAAGTGAACCAGGCAGTTTTCCTGTTAAACCACGACGTACTTCATGTGCTGCATTCTCACGAATTTCTTGTGAACTAGCTTCACTATACCATGATGTACGTGGTGTACATAATAAATTAACAGCATCTTTTAACGGTCCTAGAAGATCAAATAAAAAATTAAAATATAAAACATGATTGTTCAATTCCATAAAAAGAAATTTGAAACCACAAACACTTCTATTTTGATAAGAAAACGTTGTTAAGGTATCACCGAGGAAACAAAGAGGGCGCTATGTGTTAGAGGACATTGTTGAAGTATCTACTACGATCTATCACAGAAATTATTTTCTATATTAATGTTTCATCGATCGTGGAGATAGAGGAGTCGCCCCACCACCACACGAAACAAAGTCGAATAATTACCATTATTAAAACTATACTACATGGATTTTCCACAAGATCATAGAACATTGCCCTACCATACACGATTTTCTAATTACGTCACTAACAGCGCCTCTCCCAATATTGGATTGGTCCTTTCAATTTATGATTATTGCACCTTGCTCTATTAGTTCGTTTCTCCGCAATTTTAAATCCTCCCTCGAAAAGACAAAATTGGGATCAAACATTAATGGCATTCATTAATAATAGATAGCAATTGAAAAATTTCAAGAAATATCACTGAAATCTATCCGTTTGTCTATAATATCAGTTTCATTAAGTAAAAAAAATTCCCTTAGGAATCCACGAAGGAAGGTTTCAATTGTAAATCTAAAATGTTTTACAAAAATTTCCAAGTATGAATTTACATGTCTCACGCTTATCTCTCATTAGCAGCATAGTTCTATGTAATATATGAAAAAATCAAAAATGATTATTTAAAAAATTCTTACCAGCAGATAAATTGTATGGCTCATTTTCAAGAACATCAAGTGCAGCACCACGAATTCGACCATCTTTTAATGCTGCAGCTAATGCTGCTTCATCAACAAGACCACCACGTGATACATTAACAAGAAATGCGCCAGGTCTCATTTGTTTTATAGTAAAATCATTAATTAAATGATGATTATGTTCATTAAGTGAACAATGAAGTGTAACACAATCCGAACGATAAAGTAAATCTTGTAATGTAAACACACGAGTGATTCCTATCAATAAAGAAAGCACAATCAAATAATTCTTTTCATTTTTTTTTTTTTTTCGTTTGTCAAATACTCATACCTAAAACTTTATCAATACCATCGGAAAGATAAGGATCAAAAAATATAACATTAAAACCAAATACTTTAGCACGTAAAGCAACAGCCATACCAACTTGACCAAGACCAACAATACCTAATGTTTCATTACGAATTCTTGCACAACCAGTTGCAGCTTCACGTATTTGTTCAGGTGTTGATACACGTTTACCATCTTTAACTGTTTGTGCTAACCATGCTGTACGACGATATAAATTTAATATCATACTTAATGTTGTATCAGCCATTTCTTCAACACATTGTGATGGTACATTTGCTACAGCAATGCCTTGTTCACCAGCTGCTTTTATATCAATATTATCATATGCTGAACCAATGCGTACAATTAATTTTAAAGCTTTAAATTTAACTAAATCTTCTTTTTTTAATGTTATTGCATGCCAAACTAATGCAGCTGTTGCTTCATTTAAAACTTTTTCATGAATTTCTGATGTTGATTGAGCATCACAAAAAGCAACCGTTGCTATATCTTTTAATATTGGCATTTCAATTGTACAATCACGTCCATCAAGTAATGCAACAAGTGGACGAGCACCTGTTGTACTAGGACCATTTGATAAAGGCATTCGAGAAGGTATAGCTAGATAGAAAAATTCTTATTGAAAGTTTCAAAGAGAAAAATTTGAAAAAAAGAAATACAAACTGGAAAGTAAACTAGTTGGGTCGATACGTGGTTTTTTTGGGTTACTTCCCCCGGAACTAGACATTCGACATTCGAAGTAATGATGCAAACAAAAAAAAGAACAACGAAAATTTTATTTGAATAGGGAGTAGAGCAATTGATTGAATGACTGACTGACACTCAATGATTCTTAAGAACAAAGATAGGAAAACAGAAATAAACAAAATGGCAGGGAGTCAGAATAATTCAATTGGAGTATTTAACTAATGGAGGAAACTATGAGAAATGACGATATAGATGGCGCCTTGATTTTTCAAAAATAGAATAGGCTTTTTTTTTTTAATTGTATAGAAATAAAATTAATCAATTTTTAATCTTAGGGTATTTAGTTATTTTCTGCAGTTGAAATATAGATGGCGATAATGAACTACTTGTAATTATATCCATTGAGTCCAATATCGGATATTTTGAAAAAATATCTTAAGACTGACAAATCGTATAACGTTAAATTCTCTACAATACTGTCAAAGATAAATCCTACTGAAGTGTTTTAATAATTTTCTTATTAGACTAAAACTCAAAAATTGTGAATAATTATCAAATGTATCATGACTTTGGGAGAAACAAAATACTTTAAATTTTTCCATGATATCCTTGATAAAAAAAAAAAAAAAAGTTCAAATAATATAAAAATCATGAATGTTCATGAAAAATATGATCGTTATTATACTGTTTAACAATACAAACTCTTTGAAGAAACGAGCTAATCACTTAGTAAACATAACTTAATAAGCCATGGCAAATCTTAAATTAGCCTTAATTTGAAAATTTATACATCAGAATTATTATGAATTTCAGTTCTTCAAAATTTCTGCGAATGTGGAAAAAACAATTCTACAAATTGGAAAAATATAAATAATAATAATTATATATTCCTTTAAATCCTAACATTTCAAAAAAAAAGCTAAGGAATTAGTAATCGGAAATTTATTGTGTAGAGAATGACTGTAAGAGCACTTCAGTGAAGTGGAATGAATTGTCGTTGTTACCTTAATCAGAAAAAAGTAGTATCAACGAAATAAAGTTTCTCTTTTTTTTTCAAAATTTCTGATAGCTGCTCTTCTATTAATTGTGATCAATGTTTTTTGTCATAAATCAGGAGTCAGGAACCCAATGGCCGATATTCTCTAGTACCAGTCATAATCAATAGTTACTTGGCAGAGCCAGCCAACGAAGGTATGCTTCTAGGTTCTTACGATTTTTTCGATGAGAAACAGCCTGCATCTCTTGACGTGGGTTTAAGTCTGGTGAATTAGGAGTAATGACACAGCCATGGGCGATTGGTTTATGTTTTTTTTTTGAAACCGAACCGAAGTAATCCCATCTCTGCTACAAATGAGATGATCTTATATTATAGGCGAAGATGATACCTGCTTGTCAGATTCAAATGGGGCTAAGCGCTCTTCTAAAATTTTTGCCTGGATTCGACATTAATTAGAAAGTCACCAATCTTTGAGATTTGCACTTGAAATTTCAAACTTCATCAACATAATTCAAAGAGCTCTTTTGATGGAAAAGTATTAGAGAATTTTTTGACGTATGTTTTAAAAAATGATTTAAAGTTTTAGGATTTGTTGATGATGAGGTTTATACAAAATAATTAATATTATTTTTCATTTTCACTTTTCTCAAAATAATAAAACATTTGTTCATCACATAATGATTCAATTGTAGCCTTAGAAAATATTATCATAAAAGTAATTCAATGGGCTTCTTCGTTAATATTCTTGTAGAGATTTTGATGACACATCTTTGGAAACTAATTAACTCTATAGAATTCATCAATGTTGAGATATTTTCAAAATACTCTATACTGCAATCATTTTAACCCAGTTGGTAGTTACAAAATGAAACTTTTTGACGTGTTTCTTATATTTTCCAGCAGTATATTGCCCAATTGAACTATGGGATGTTATGAATGAATATAAAAATTTGTGATAAATCCACGAAATAACAAGCTCAATAGACTAATCCAAAATCTTCTTAAAAATGCCGTATTATTCTAAATATCTTTTAATAAAAACTCACATTTTTGGTGTTTTTAATATATTTTTGCAATTATAACCATTGAAAACTGTCTCAATTCAACATAAAAAAATGTTAGAAACATATTTCAAATAGTTTCTAACGATCAGTAATAATTAGATTAAATAATTCGTATGACATGAAATGTCTGAAAAATATTGAATGTCGCTATTCAAAAGAAAAAGTATAAGATTTGCTTATATACAATGTTTCCCATAAATATGACTACAATAAAAAAAAAATTGAAATATTACCACTCCGGTTCAATCAAATGGGCTGAGCGTTTTGGTTGCGAGTAGAATTTTATTCAACATTTTTTTTCATACAAATAATCTAAGTAAATAGTTTTACTAAGTATTATTCTTCACCTCAATATATCAATTTCATCGGTTATCAAGTAAGAAAAATCCATGTGAAATATTCTATAAATAAGTTTTAGTCGTCATCTAAGTGAACAGCTACAAAGAAATCAAATCAGACTTTAGCAATGATACAAAATTGATGCAAATAGACCAAATTTTCAGGAGTAGTTAGTTTAAAAACAAACGAATACAGTATTTCAAATTTTCAAGTATGCGACACTGATTTTTTTTTTGGAGGAAGCTGATAATTAGATGCCCAAAGGGCTTTAACTGTATGTTTTAGTTTTCGAACATGAATTGTAACATTTAAACAATAATAATACTGACAATTTGGTCTATTTGCATTAATATTGTATTATTCATAAAGTTTATTTTAATTTCTTCGTGTTGTTCTCTTAGATAACAACTAAAAATTATCTATGAAATGCTTCACATGGACTTTTCTTATTTGGTAATCGATAGAGTAAAGTTCTACCGTTAATCAAAAACTCAGACCATTTGATTGAGCAGTAATGAAGATATTTGAATCTTTTTTTTATCGTCGTGCTATTTATGAGACAGCATGTATATATTGAATTAAGTAGTCTTATTCTAGTATAAAAAGGAGGCATGGAAAATCCCTGGAAGCAATTACTATCTCTCATAGTGCTGTTCACCGAATATGCCTGAAAAATCTTATAAAATACTTGCATGTCAATATAAAATCTTTTCATAATTGTTTGCCATCAGTAGCAGATTTGCTTTTTATTACCAGAGGTTTTTTGTTCCGACTGAAGAAAACAAGCAAAATCTTATTTTTGTATTTTTTTTTAAACATTTTCATCATATTTTACATTCAAAATAGACTTTATTTTTATCATATAGTCAAACTTCGAACACAAATATATCTTTCATCGCATTTAGATTTTAGCAATCTACAAATTCAAAACTATTATATTCTATTGATTTGTATTATGTTTGTTTGATTCAATACTTAGCAGATTCAGATATTTCGATAGATTGACCGTAGAAACGTTGAGGAGTGCTTCAGAAATTTCTAACTATCAATACATATTATTTATTGTATGAAATAATACTAACATTTTATTAAAGATTATATAAAAGTGAAGAGAAAACTTTGTAGTAATCTGCAAGACAACTCTGATTGTCAATAATTCCAATTAATTGATTATTCAAATTTGAATGAGCTTCTGCTGAAAATTCATTAAGTGTAATTACATTTGCACTTTTTCGTAGTTATTTCAATTTGAAAATGTAATCATCTGATAAGAGCAAAGATCTTTCTTCTTGTGAATTAATAAATGCAATAACTGACGATAATGGCTGAGGGTGATAGACTTTTTGGTGTCTAGTAGTTAATTTTTCGACTATTTTTAGTTATTCTCTATCAGACATTACTCGTCACTGATACTCATAGTTTCCAATAGAATAATGAAAAAGCAATGATAAACTAGAGACGACTGAAGTTAATGTTTTCTGGGCAAGTCACTTTCGTTTCGATATTTTTCATTTCGACCTGTCTACAACACACCTTTTCATAGACATTTCTATAAATCGAAACTTATTCATATTTTGTTTTTGATTGACGACTATTACCATAAATAATAGGTCCTTGAAGACGACCTAGTACTAAAAAGAAGTATTAATAATTCTTCGACTACATATTAATTATGACCTCGATCAAATGTAAAACGTGTATCATCCAACTATATCGATACATTTTCAGAGTATATGATGTAAAAATTTGTTTAATACACTAATAATTTATTTAATTTTTGAATATGTTTTCCAGATAATTTTACTGACTAGTTCCTAATCTTGTGCATTTGAATTAATATGAATTGCCATATATTCTTTGAATAAGTACAACAGTATGATACAATAACATTATGTTCAACGTTCTACTGCAATATTCTCAATAGTATTGTTATCTTCAGTTTTTAGCATTATAAATTGTATATTTGAGAAAATCCTATATAGAAAGAGATATGAAATTTCTTTATAATGTATTTTTAGAAAAAATGTTTAATAACAAACATAACGTTCAATTGCAAATTTTGTATGTTTATTAATATCTATGTCATAAACATAAGATTATCTCAAAGTTCAAGGTCTACTGAGAAACAAAACAGGATTTGAATCAGCATACCAACATGTGTCTACTTATTTCTCTAATCCTGCTGTGAAGAATTTTAATAGATAATAATTAGCTCTGGTGTTTACAGGATGTATTTTTTATGCTACTCATTTCTATTGTAACGCAAAGAAAAAATGGCATAGTTAGAAAAAGTTTCATATTAAGTGCATTACGTGACATAGCCTTGACAGATAATTAAACTATTTTAAAAGTGCATTTGAGTCTGTATAAAATAACTTAAATTTTATAATATAATCTGCAACAATCGTTGAATGTATTTGTTGTCTATTGACTTACACAATTTTCGTTGACAGAAAAATGGACAGATTCTTTTTGTTTTTAATATTAATGCGTAACATAATATAATATCGGTATAATAGAGGAAGGATGTGCAGATCTCTGCATCTTAATAATATTATTATAGATAAATCATTTTAGATATAATTTTTCCAAATATCTTTTTCATACATATTTCTCCAATCTATAGCTTTAGTTAAATTA